AATCAATTTATCGTCCAGTGTACATGTTAATGAATTATACAACATACATGCAAGCATATGAACACCAATTAGATACATGCATTAAAGGTAATCTTTTTTCGCCCAAAAAGTAATAAAAGCGATCTTTTAGATGTTACAGGTTTGGTTGTGTTTTTTGTTTTGTTTTGTTCTTGTTTTCGGCCTACTCAAATGCTATAAAACTTTATTATGGCCGTAAAATGCTACAATTGAGTCTCCAAATCAAATATTAAACGACCTCCATAAAGAGGCTGGTACAGGACTTAGGGAAGCAGGAGGAGGGAAGTTGACCTCCGTAAACAACATTTTTTTGGCAGCACGAAATGTTCAAAGACCTTTAATCAAGACTTGTAAAACAAGTAGAGATTGAGTAGGTCTCCAAGGAAGCATCAAACTTCAGTCCATATCTCCTTTCAACCCAGAAATACAAATACAAATGCATGCAAAAGGATTCAGACATAGAGTGAGTGCCCATGGGCATGCGTTACTTTTGTTTCGAGTGGCAAATCTACAAAAATCCTGCTGAAGCTATGTAAATCCAACAGTTTAACTAAGCATAGCATAGAGCTAATGATTTTGTTTAAGCAACAGAGAAGCACAGAATAAAGCAGGATAGAGTTCTGGCATTTATAGGCAAAGGTTATAAGTATTTTACAAGATTGACAGGGCTTCATAAATTTGAGAAAGAAGGGGGGGTATGCAGACTCATAGATTATGGTTACTTGTGGGTATAATGTACTGGCATAATATTTATAAGTTAAAACTGGGAAGCCATTCATGAAAACATTTATTGGACAAGAATGAGGGTTATTGGCAACTAGAAGCATTCTTCATGAATCATATTCATAACTTGTCAACATTAAATAACAAGATAATTGAAGTACTTGCATGCCAAATAAGGAGCTATTCACAATTGTTCATAAGAGGAGAAATCTCTTGCATATTTAAAGAGACTAAACATATTCCAAAAGTCAATATATCATAACAGCTCGGAGTGGTAACTAGTAACACTAGACAATGGCTTTGAGTATCTTATTGCACAAACTCTTGTTTTTTAACACTTTTCAACAATAAGTGAACTAAATATGCATAAAATTACAACTAGCTAAAGACGATTTCCCTAACGAATTCCCAGGCAAGCAAGAATGAAAATAGCTCTTAAGCAAGTGAAGACATTTTGTACAAGGAAGTTGGGTAAAACATTGGAGAAAAGAATATAAGCAATGCTTAAAGTGGCTATGATTCTATGATTCTTTCAGATCCTGAAAGAATATTGGAGAAAAGAATATTACTTCCATTAACAGAAGGTTTTCAGGCTAAAGGACAACATAAGCCTGGCAGCAGCTAACAACAGCAAGTAACATTTGAGTTATGCAAGTCCTCCTTTACTGTTCTTTCTAGTTGAATCAGAATATATTATTTCATAAAAAGATTTCTGCAAGAAAATCAGGAACTCAAACCAGAGTACATGCTGAGACAGTAAAAGGCAAGTTATATAATTATCCATGACTGTATAGCATCAGCCATCTGCTACGTAGGGCCAACTAAGCAAAATGTTTTATGGATTTGTCAGAACAAATATCCATCAACTACATCCAGAAGTGCAATTCCCATCGGAGATACATAGCGTGTAGATACTAGGTAATGGTAAGTGTCATGCTAATCCGACCACCTCTTATAAGCGCCGATACAAAGCCCTATAATTAGATACATTTTCTCATATTCCATTGAGCTGTTAAAATCATATAATGCTATTGATATTGTCCACTTTTGATTGAGAAATGAAAGTGAGAATATAAGCCACTGCGTATAAGTTCTTTCGTAATATAAACATCCAGTCCAACTGTCCAAGGTATGCTTCTTGAGAAGAAACCTTACTTCTTCAACACCAAGTGCTCCAAAATTTTGAAAACTAAAATACACAAACAGAGGGGCTTAAAGGCTCAAGTTTAAACCCCAAATCCTAACTTTTATCCCGTCAACCGAGTGCAATGCCCAACTAGCTAGAAAGAGGGAAAGGGAATGAATATATATATACCTTGCGCAAAGCAGTGGCGAGCTCACCACGAGTGAAATTAGCAGCAGCAGAAGTGGTCAAAGGGATCCCATTACGGAACTGATAGAGCGCCACATTCTTCTGGATGTACTCCGTGAACTGAACCCTACATCACAACGAATCGCAATTCACTCAACGCCAATATCCCAACAAAAAAGAAAGGAACTGAGAAAGACAGGAGTAAAGGTGGGACCTGTCTCCCGGCTCACCACTAGCGGCAATGAGCTTGTGAGAATCGAGGACCATGATCTTGTCCTCATTAGACTTGCGTACAAGGATGCTGTGCACTGCCGAGGTATCGGCCGCCACAACCACGAAGTCGTTGCCGACAAGACCAAAAACGCATTCCATCTCCGCGATCTGCTTCTTCGCGCTTCGGGTTTGTTTTGTTCTGTTATATTTGCCTATTTGGCTCCCGCGGTCCCGCCCTTCGTCGGCCTCGCCCCGTGAATGAAATAGTACCGGTATAAGCCTTCGTGAGGAACCAGTTGGCGTTTTTCATGGGGCGGGTTAATTGGCGGGTTGTAGGTTCGGGTTCTCATTCGCTTGGTGATCAACGGGTCACCACAGGAAAATCAGAAAATGGATCTCACCCGCGGCACTCTTTAGCTTATCTTAGGCTTAATTTAAATTTTTGCAAAAATATAAAAATATCATGACTGTTGTTTTAAATATAAGATCTAGATAAAAAGTTTATTTTGATTCTAAATATATAAAATAATAATTCATTTTGCCTTTTAAATTTATACTTCATTTGGTTCAAAATATAAGCTAAACTTTATCCATTTATGTTTATTAAGAAATTAGTTAAAATCAATTTAAAACAATAAATATGCGAGGCATGTATTTTTTTTTCTTCCAATTATGCCCTTGTTAATGAAGAGAATAAATAAATCAAAGAGGAAAGAGAATATATGTGAGGTAAAATTAGAAAAAATTCATTAAATACTAAGATAAAAGTAAATTTTATTTTATTAAAAAAAACTAAACCCCTCTAACAAAGTGTAACTTATATTTTGAACTAAAATGAGTAATTTGTTACCAAAAATATTCCTATTAATTAAAAATTAAGAAGTAATTTCTATTCATATGATTAAATAGATAGTTTAAAAGACTAACACATATCCGTTATAAATAACTAAGTTAACTATTTTTTTAAATATCCCTCTAGGAGATAGTATACTTTTGTGTGGGAGATTATATCAAACATTTTGAGATCATATTATTGATATAGAGATGTAATGAAAAAAATATGACTTTTAATCCCTAAATTCTCCTAATTATCAGTTTAGTCCTTAGATTTTAACATAGAAAATAGTTCTTGTAATTGTTGTTTATAGGTATAAAAATTATAAAATTGAGTTGTTTTCAATAAAGAGAATTATAATAACCAACTTATTTTGAGTTAGCAACTATAATGGCTAAAACCCCTTCACTAAAAGCAACACCTGCTTATGATTAAAGTCTTGTGTAAATATATCAAATGTTAAAAATTAGGATTTACAATTTCTTTGTTTGTCACCAAAACTGAGGTCTTTTAATAGTTGGTATAGCATAACGAACCCATTAATAATCAATTAATTTTGATAATATAATTATTATGTAATTTAATGGACATGATTTATTTTAATCCACGTTCTTTATTGTTTTACATTACTCCCTCCGTTCCTTATTATAAGAGACAAATAACCGATTTACGTTGATCAAAAAAACAGTTAAAATTAGTTAAGAACAATCAATATGTAAAAAGTATAATTTTTTTTTTTCAAAACTGCCCTCATTAATAAGGAGAGAGAGCATGAGAGAGAACAATTAAATTATTAAAAGAAAGAAAAGTGAGAGGTAGAAAGAGTGTGAGTTGGAGACAATAATATGGGTAAAATAGGAAATCAACACAAAAAATAGAGACAATTTTTAAGTGTCTCTTATATATAAGAATATGCCATAAGCATCAAATGTCTCTTATAATAAGGAACGGAGGGAGTAATATCTAAAACGTGGCCAATAGGCTTCACACTTAATGGGATCTTACTAGTTAACATGAGATCCAACCCAAAAACAACACGGTGAAGTCCTACAACAAGACATTTAAGAACCATCAGCCTACGAAGACCATTCGGGCCACCATGCTGACCCTGTGAAGATTGACTTCGCTATTCTTGATAATTGATGCAAGTGTAAGAACAACGAAAACGAACTTGCATGAGATAGTGGAGGAGCATCCATCATCGCAACGATTTTGTCAAAACTTTTTTGTTTGAAACGAAAGTCACAATGCAAAACACAGACAAGAGACCTGCAGAAACAAATGACACAGGCAGCAACACAGAACATGCATCCGCCTTGCATATACCTTGGAGATGCCACCCAAACCTTAAAAGTCGCTCCATGCATAAAAGACCCATTGAGCCATCTGTCAAGTGGAAATTTCTGGTGTGCTGCACAATCATAGAACTGAAGGAGAGGGTTAAGATTAATTAGAAAACTCACCACTCTAATGTAACAAAGCCAGAGTTTGGACGGAGTAATGCTCGGGAGCAATTTACAACCAGCTGATCATCAGTAACCTGAAATCTAAAAGATAGTATCCAGTTACAGTGCTTCAATTTCAACTGAGGTAACCCAAATCAGCCATTTGAATTCCATGTAAGTGTTGTTTCTTCCCTCCCACCTCCAAACTGGTTCTAGCTGCTCTGCTTCTGCAAACTGATTCCAAAAGAAACTAGTCCCTGCAAACCATAATAGAACACCTTAACCTTTATAAATACACACAACCATAATCACAGCCAGGAGAGTTCATAAAATATACGCATTCATCTATCTAATGCTGTCTAAACATAATCATGAAGTATGACATTGGCAAAAATTTAAATATTAAAGGATAAGATCATGTATATTTACAAGCAACCTAACCAAATAAATTCAATATGAATAAAATTCAAATAAGCCTGATGTAATTGAATTACTGGTGAATAAACCGTAAATATAAATATGTAAAAAACCCCTAAATGGCATTTGTTACTTTTTCTTTTCTTTTCCTTTTTTGTTTTTCCACTTTGCCATCCAAATAGCGCTGGTTACAAAGCATACATTTCAGCTCCAATGACATCAAGTTACTATAATATACTTTCGAAGTCTTTTCTCATGTTTGCTTTAGAGATGGCAGGCTTCAGAGGGACAAAGAATGCTTGAATGAGACAGCCTTTAATCATCAGATATCTATATATCTATAAAACCTAAGGGGTTTGAAGGTGATTTCTCGTGCATCACAAAAGCCTGCTTTTGTTGCACGCTGACCAGCAGCTAACAGATGCTCTGGGTTAGTTTCTTTTGTAGAGACTCATGGGTCATATATATATATAATAATACACATATGAAACCTGTTGATTCCAAGATGTATCGTACAATACTCATGTCACCAACACCATCTGTATATGAAGATTAGTAGGCCAAAAAGGTAAATTTATCAGGGTGCTGAAATCTCCTCATCTAATGGCTTTATAGTTAACACCCATCTCGACTCTGCTGTTCTAACAATTCACATTGACAGCAGAATACAACAGAGCTACAAATATACATATTCTATCTCAACTTATGTGCATAAGTAGATACACCTGTACATATTCTCAGCAATGCTACTACCAATGCTCAACTGTTGCTTGCCAGTAGCCTCGGAATCTAACACCCTGAATTGTTATAAAATAAAAGCTCTAATAGAATCTAAGAAAGCTTGGATACTCCACGATGTGAAACTGAATACAAGCCCATGGTTGTCCATTCTACAATATAATTATCATGATTTCAGGACTTAGGCTGCTGCGAAGTAGTGGTCGGAGGAACAGGGATATTGCACCTCGTGTTTTTGGGATGTTTGTGGGAAAACTATTTCTACGCTTCATTCATCTCAGAATGCAAAAAGCTATCATACAGAATTATCTTTAACAATAATAAATTAGCAAGGACAAGATTCTCAATGAACTCACAAGGCTTCAGGCTAACATCTTTTCAACATAGAGCCTTCTACTACTCTAGTGAACTTTCAATATCATTTTGTTGTCCGTCAAGAGCATGGAGTGTGTAAAAGTTTCCTCAGTAAACTAAGCCAAAGTCAGTCATAGAACTTTAATCCTAGGCCTCACCCAGAACTTCTTTTTACCCTATCCTCAAATGACAAATCGAAAATAACACAAACTTGATAATAAGATACTACCTGATGTGATAAGGACGGATGTGATGAACTCGCTAGGAGAGAGTTATAATACCGTATGCAATTAAAAAAATAGTAATTGCATCAATGAAGAGATTTAACAAGTTGGCCAGAGTAATTGGCACATCCTCACATCAGTTCAACATACAGAGAACTATCATAAGATGGCATAGATGGAAATGCACCAGATAAGACTCCTTAATCAAAACATGACTTGGCATGAAATTTTACTTACCAGTATTTTATCAACCCATCCCAGCCACACGTTGCTACCTTGCTTTGTTCCAACGGGTGCCACTCACATCCAATGCAAACACCTTCATGACACTTGAGAGTTCTGAATACTTTGCAACTCTTCCAATCCCAGAACCAGCACTTGCCCTCCCCGTCTCCAGATATGACAAAGCGCCCATCTGGGGAAAAATTCACCTGACATGCATATCCGGCAACAATGTGTCCAGCAAACCTCTTCTTCTTGTTAAGTTGGAACTTCTCCCTAGTGCTATAGATGAGTATTTGATTATCCAGGCTTTGTGCAGCTAGCCAATTGGAGTTGGGATGGAGTGAAATGGATGGCATAGAGTGCATGTGTGGTTCGCTGATGTACTTAATAACCACAGGAATACCAAATTCCCATACTCGGAGAGACTTGTCATCACTGGAAGTAACAAATCTCCTGTTGTTGTCAACAAATGTGATGGTATTCACAGCCCCCAAATGCTGATCGTACTCTTGCGTTATTTGCCCAGTATTCATATCCCACTGGACAATCTTTTTATCACTCATACCAGCCAACAAAACATTCTGCTTATCCTCATCAGGATTAAGCTTGACCACATAAGGGATTTTCCCAGTTGAGAAGGTGGATATCACTTGACCAGTCTCCGTATCCCAATACTTAATATTTTTATCATAACCAGCACTCAAAAACTTACTCCCATCATTACTAAAACAAATGTCCCTTACTGCTTTGGAATGGCCCATATAAGTTCTCATACATTTACCGGAATTGAACACGTCCCAAATCTTCACCTTTGTATCCATACTTGCCGACAGAATCAAATGCCCATACTTAGGGAAGAAACGTATAGCAGATACTCCCTTGGTGTGCCCACTCCATGTATGTACAAGCCTTTTAGGAATATAACAATGATCATTACTGGCCTTTGCATCCTTAGGAGGTGCAATCCAAGACCTACCCTGGTAATCTCTTTCCTCCTTCCCGTGAAAAGTACTCTTATCTTTAACAACCTCTCCTTTCTCACCTCCAAATCCACTCTTTTCTTCTCCCTTCTTCTTGGCATACTCTTCGGCATATTTCTTCTGCTCCTCGGTTAATTCGGTTTGCAATCCTTCCTTCTTACCCGCCCACGGGCTCTTCTTATTCTTCATTAACCACGTATCAGTAGCTGGGTTATCAGCCTCGATCATATCAACATCATCTCCCTCTGCATCTTCCTTGTCCGCTGATTCTTTCTTCTTTTCAAGCTTCCTCTTCTTCTGTTCAGACTGCGGTATGTTGTAGACCGAAATCCCATCATTCTTCTGCAGTGCCTCCAAGTCCCCAACATAATTATACCCAGCAGAGGCTGACGGGTCGGCAGCATAGCCGTACTTGTAGAAAGTATTGTACTGCTCATCAAAGACGAAGGGCTCAATAGAAGCGTCTTCTACGAAACCCAGCTTGTGATTGCGCATACCTTGAGCAATGCCGTCCTTGGCGAACGGATGCGCCGGGCCATAAAGAGGCGCCCATAGCTGGTCGTAGGTGGGGTTGAAAGGGACCACGTGGTGAGTGGGGTCAATGGGTTTTGAAAAGGTTTGATTGGCTTGAGCGACAGTCAGCGCAAGCATGGTGTCGTCGACCTTGGGGGCGGCAGATTTGGCTGGAATAAGGCGGGGCGGGGAGGATTCTGGTGAGGAATTAGGGTTTTGTTGACCGTGGTTATCAGAGTTGTCCGAATCATTGTCGTTGTGATCTGCATAGTTCTGAAGAAGATCCATTGAGGTTTTGATGATGGAGAATTGGGAGGATCAAATTCAAACGGAAGAATCTAAAACTCCGAGGTCCCAAAAATCAGCTGACCTGCTGCGGAAAAGGCCGCAAAGCCAGAAGCGGGAACGATTCCGAATGTCTATACTAACTTGTTTGTGGCCGAAATACCTTGCCGCGGTGGTGAGTTTTTAGTACAGTCATGTTAGCAGCTATCGGCTAATAATTTAAACGCATTGGTGTCCTTACAAAGAATTTTGACCATGGTAACTATTAAAATTTTAAATGGTAATTTGTTATCCTTATAATTTAATAAGAATTTACTGACAAAAAAATTAGTAAGAACTTAATTTGAATTATTATTAAATATGGAAATTAAAACTCAAAATATATACAAAGACTAAAATCAAAACTTATCTTTATTTTCCTTTGCTGGCATCATAATTTATTTATGATCTGTATATACTCTTTCAATCTTAGATATAAAATTTATTTTGTAATGTATTTTTTTAATATTATTTTTGTAATGTAATTTCACCTAGAATGGAGAGTAATTTTCAGGACACTTATTGAAAATTTTAAAATAATTCGAATTTGCAAAAGAAAGGCAATTTTTTAATCATCCATTCTATGGGGTGTTTGGATAGAAACCAAACCATAGTTTCAGAAGTGCTTTTACGAATTACGAAGTAAATATGTGGAGGAAGTTACCTCGTTTTACGGAAAAGTGATTCTGAAACCTAGGTTTTGGTTTTGCCAAACACCCCCTAGACGATGTGCCTTGCGATTCTTACTACCTAATAGATACCCAATCATATGAGGGAAAATCCCAAAAAAAATCCTTAGAATATAGGGAATTCCAAATTGAGTCCTGGAATTGTATAAATGACAGAAAGAGTCAATAACCTAATCTGTCATTTGTAAAATAAAAGGGAATTGATAACTTTGCCCTCATTTGCATTCATTTACTATAATGATTTAAGGAATCACTATAAGGGTTTAGGCGTTACCTAGATTTGTGGAGAGAATAACTATTCACTTTTTTGTAGTCAGGTGCCTTGTTATTAACTACAACTAATCGTGTAATCACTAGAATAGTGTAAGCGTTACATAAATTTGTTTAAAAAAATAACTATTCATTTTTTCTTAACCAAAACAAAATTATCAATTCCTCTTGATTTTACAAATGATAGATTATGTCATTAACCATTTCTGTCATTTGCACAATTTTAGGACCCAATTAGGAATTTTCTATATTCCAAGAACTTTTTCTGAAATTTTCCCATCATATTATCAAAAAAAAAAAAAAAAAGATACCCAATCATGCTTTTGGGGGTGTTTGGGTAATCATGAAAATGCTTTTAAAAAATTCTTTTTTTCCACAAATTGAGACAAACTCTTTTACTTATTTATTTTATATACCATAAATTTATTTTTAAAATTATGATTTGATATTCATGCAAACATTTTTCTTATCTGATGTCCATTTCAGACTACCCACGTCAAATCAAATTTACCTTGGCCTTCTCGAAATGTTTGTTGGTATTTTTCTCGACACAAATACTCTATACAATAGACATGACAAAAAAACTTCAAAACGTTGAGAAAATCCTTTCTTCAGTGCGTTTTTAAGAAAATGAACACAACGCTGTAAATTTAGACGAGTTTGGTGTATTTTCTAATCAAGTCGTGTTTTATGGCCAAACATCAAGTATCACCTAATATTAGATTTTTACCAAGCATTTTCACAGTATTTACTATGATGTGTGGTTCTTTACAATGTAATGAAATCACTCTGATATACTGAAAGATAAACATGAAAATATCTTCTCCGGGGATTAGCCGACTTGGGCTTTGGAGGTTTGGGCTCGTGGTTATGAACATTGGGCTGAAAACTTGCTTCAACAACTAACGGAGTTAGATCTAATGGAAATGACTAGTTCCTCACTATGACAAACTAAGGTTCAGATTCCTACTGGGAAAGGTGTTTACGTTTAGTACTTAACAGTGTTTTAAATAGAATTGTTTCCAATAAGAAGAAACCTGCAAAAAATTGGGGGGAAAAACTTGCTTCAACACTACTTTTTTTCTAGTAAAGCTGTAAACTTCCCGCCAAGTCCCAACCCAATGTATATACATATGGTTGTTTTGAATCATTTTGTATGTGTTGAAACTTCTCGCCTTTTTCCCTGTTTAGGCCGTCAAAAATTTTCTCAAGGTTTTTTTTTTAAGGGAAAATGACACATAAAGAAACCTGAAATTATGAAATGCCAAAATGGGAAGCTAAGCAAATGTATTACCAGATAGGGAAGTGTTGCATGATTTGGGATTATGCAAATGTTGGGCAATTACCAAACAGCCCCTCATGATCCAAACAGAGAAAATGACCGGTGGAAGTGTGCAAGTTGTGGCGGGAGCTGGAGGAAAAACTTTGGAGGGACCATGAACGTGGGATCATGAACGCGTGAAGCAAGAGCTGAACAAAGTAAGCAAGTGAGGTTAGTATTCAGTGACTATATTTTTCTTCTCTCTCTTTTGTCCGTCTCCTTTATGCGTTGGTTGATTTTTCTCTTCCCGTTGGATGGCAATGTTGTCAATGTAAGGATGGTTTTGAGGTGGAGAGGGTGGCGAAGCAGGGAGATGGTGTGGGTTTATAGAAACTGTGGAGAAGGACGGTGATCAGAGGGTGAATGCATGGGGAAGGAAAAATACTAAGGGAGAGGGGTTTGATGGTGTCACAAATGGGTCAGAGTGATTAGTGTTAGATAAAGGCACAATGTTGAAGGGGGATTCGAATAATGGAGTGGATTGATTCTGAGAAAATGAAGCATTAGTGTGGACAGGAAAGAAATGAGTGTTTTGTTGCAAATTATAAGCATGAATGTGTCAAACCCTAAGTTGGTCGTGTAAGTTGATGATGATGGTATTAAGTCATATAATCATTCGACTTTTGTTATCAGTGCAGGTAATGAAAGAAAATGAATTTCGAAGCTGGGTCATCTTATGGGAAAGAGCTATTCTGTTATTTTCATGTGGGAGGGAAATTTGTGACAAATGGTGAAGGTGAAGTGAGATATAATGGAGGTGGCGTGAGGTTAAGAAGCATTAAGGATGGGTTGACACTTGAAGAATTGAGGCTAATGATATGTGAGTGGATTGGTGGTGATGGAAGAAATTATGACATTAGGTACACAGTGGCCTTTGATGAGAAGACACTGATTGACCTTCATGACAATACTGAAATGTATAACCTCTTTCAATACAATGGGAACAGCAGTCATGTGTACGTGGGCGAAAAAGGACAGGGGGTCCCCAACCAAGGGACAATGTAGAAATGTAAGTGGAAGTTTATCCTAACTATTTGTTGCCATTTATGAATTTTATCTTGTCATTTGTGTTAGCGAGTCTTGTCATTCTGAATGTAGAACAGGGAGATTCATGGGCATGTCACAGTAAACAGAACGGGATGCGTTTCCCATTAGTTTGTGTTGTAATTATGGCTGGTTCGGTGAAGAAAATGCTCGTGAATGTGACAATGATGAAAGAAGTGGGCCCCCTAATGTGGATACATCCATCAGAGTTGAAGATACAGATGGTAGTAAGATGGTTCATGTGGAATGGAGGGAACTTTTTACAGGAGTGGGCCAACATTTTCCTAATGCAGATGTATTTCGGGTGTCTGCATACAAGTGTGCACTTGCACACAAGTTTGTGCCCAAGTATGTGAGGAATAGCAAGGAATTCATGTCGATGAGGTGTAAAGTTAAGGGTTGTCCATGGAAGCTATGTGCAAATCATATGGGGAAGAGTTGTGATGTGCTACGAGTGACGACATTTATAAACTGGCATGTTCATTCTGCCCAAGATAGCTTGGACGTGATGCATAGTGGAAGAGTTAGTTTGAACTCATCAATAATAATTGATGAGATAAGGGATCATGCGGACAAGCGCACTTCTGAGATAAGGAAGAAGTTGAAACGAGAGTATGGGATTGATCTAACATATAAACAGGCTTATAGAGTAAAAGAGAAGTCATTGGAAGACATATATGGCAGGCCTGAACAATCATACATGCTCATACCATGGGTATGTGAAAGGCTAAAGGAAACGGATGAAAAAACCGTGACTGGATGGACTGCTATTAGGAACTAGTTTGAGAGTGTTTTCATTGCCTACGGGTCATACATTGAGGGTTTCTTGGGTGGCACGAGGCATATTATGTATGTTGATGGAACTCACTTAAGCAGACCATACAAGGGGACAATGTTGTCAACTTCAGCTTATGATGCAGATAACGAGCTGCTACCGTTTGTAATTGCAATTGTCAAGGGAGAAACACTAGATGACTGGATGTGGTTTTTCTATATGATAAAAAAAATCATGGGTTCTGTGGAAGTAACGATTGTATCAGATCGACACAATGCTATCATCGGAGAAGTGGCATCAATCTTTGGGGGTCAAAGGCATGCCTTTTGTCATAGACACATGAAGGAGAATTTTAGTTCAAAAGTTATGAAAATGAATAAGAGGCAAACAAGGACAAATGGCCGATCAAAGGAGGATGCACTACATTTATTGGATAAAATTGCATATGCAAAGACGAATGAAAAATTTGAGGCAGCAATGGATGACATGAGAGCCTTTTCTCCAAGGCTATTTGATTGGCTTATTCATCATGGGGATGTAGATAGGTGGGCTAAAAGCATGTTCCCATATAAAAGATGTGACAATATTACAAGTAATATAGCAGAATCATTCAATGCATGGATGGTCAATGAGAGAAAGCATACTGTACCCAGTTAATCTATGAGCACCGAGAGAAAGTTGCAAGAAAGCTGCATGCCTCCTATGTGGCTATGACCAAATGGAAGAATTGTGTTGGTCCAAATATATACAGTAAGGTGTTGGATATGATGGCTGGGTCTGACCATATGTATGCTGAAAATGATGGTGGGGGAAGAGTGAAGGTGACAACATCACGTGGAGACCATGGGGTTGATCTTGGACTACACTAATGCAGTTGCAGATCTTGGCAAATGACGAGGATCCCTTTTCCCATGCTTCTGCTGCCATCAAGATTGTGCATGGCAATGTTTATGATTATGCTGATAATTGCTATAAAAAGTCATCACA